CGTGATTATAACGGGATAGATGTAGGCGAATGAGTACAAAGATTTTGAGCAAACGAACATGAAAATAGGTAAATTTCTAGTAGAATTTGTCATCAACGGAAAAATCCTCAGATAATTCCATTTCAGGCATATTTTATCATTACATACGAATATTTAAACACAAATAGTGCACCTTTCGTACACTCAAGGATCTGTGAACCAAATCACAGGTCATAAATGTATGCAACAAATTTGTGCAAAGTTAAAACACAACCCAATGTCCAGTCTGTATAACTCGGGGTGAAGAGTTATAACACGGCCTTTGGGCTAATCTGTGTAACTCGGGATTCAGTGCTAGAACAGAACTCACGGGTCACTCTATACTGTAACACAATAACTCGGGACGAAGAGCAATTTGCCCGGCTAATGACGTGGCGGACGACGCGTTAGCAATTTCCTGAATCGAATTGCGACTATGCAATTGACTTGTGGCTGAAATTAACTGAGCAGCTTCGCCTTCAAAACTCCGGCAACTGTTTCGGAGGTCAGTTAGTCGAAACCTGGAAATTGTTATTACTGAATTAAATTAGTTATTATCCGATGTAGAACTGGATAATTTGGCTTGCTGTTATAGAACAAGAAAAGGAATTTCACGGCGGGATCTTGTATAGTCTGGGTACAGAAAGGAATTCAGCGATGCAAGAGAAAATTTGTTACATGGATTGCAAAAGTAAGAAAAGGATTTTCCGATCTGGAAAGAAATTCCATGGTGAAAATTTGGATTTTGGTGAACAGAAAAATTATTCAGATTAAAGATGCGGAAATGCTTGCTTAAGAGAAATATCAAATTTGACTATCCAGAGTTATACAAATTTCATGGTCAGGTTTGAGACTCTCACGGCGTTGAATATGAAGATGGTTGTCTTCTGGAATGTTCCACCTTGTAGTCTGGCAGATATTTGTCGACGTTACAGAGGAGTTAACTACCACCATCCTGATTATAGGCAAGTGGTCAGAAAATTAATTTAACCCAAGAAAGACGAAGTAAGCAATTTAGGACATTATTTGCTCAGTTAAGGTGACTCAGATAATCGGACGACTCATTAACAACAAATTTTAAGTCGATAAGAATTATACCAACTGGGCTTAACTGTGAACTTGCCTTAACGAGAAACTTCATGATGTGTACACATAGTATTGTTATACCAATGGATTCAGGAGTTTACTGTGGGCTGGGCATGTAGATAGAGTGAGGAAGACAAATTTAACCAGCCATTTGAAAGATCGTTAATGCGATGGAAAATAACATTGAGATGGATCTTAGAGGAACAGGTCGTGAAGATCAGAGGTGGAATGAAGTGGCTGAAGATCGTGTCCAATGTCAGGTTTCGGTATGAGCGGCGTCGGTCCTGTGCTTTCTAACACATACGAGTAAATAATGAAATTGTGAGAGAACTGAAAAGCTTTCAAGACTAGAGGAAACTAGTTCTAACATATACAAGTAAAAAATTATAGACTTCCCGAAATTGTATTCCGATTCATAGAGACAGAAACAAGTATTGGAGATCAAACAATCTGTGGATATGTTGGACTTCATATAAGGAACGTCTAATAGCTTAGGAGTAAATAAATAATAAGTAAAAAAATAAGTTAATAATAAGAAAGTGTAATGCTAAAGAACACAGACGGATGTGACCTGACCTGATGCTGGCTCCAGAGTCTTATAACCTAACACTTCCAAACCGTGCGCCTCGCTACACACTACATCCGCCCCCAATCTTGCTATATTCTAAAGGGGTCGTCATGCTTACGTTACCCTTTCTGGAGGGTAGAACTAGTGATCTTCCCTTCTGTAATTACAGGATTGAAACCTACTTCCTGAAATAAATTCATCTCTCTGAAGTTCCGCCTGCCTATGTCTGAAATGACATGTATTAAAAGCACTCACTTCTGGCTTGGTGTAGCTAATTTTAGAGTTCCGAAGGATTATAATTTTTATGCTGTATACAGTTAACACTACTATTATTTTCCCGATATTTAGATCATATTTTTGTTTATGTGACAACAGTGTTGTGACGTATACAGCGATAAAACAAACCGCCCTTTTACAATACAGGTCACAAGTTAAGCTCGTGTTTAATATGTAGCGGTGTTTTTCCACAGGCCCGTTAAAGCATATCTTTAACCTGACTTAGAGATTAGAGTTTAAGTGAAGAATTGGAAATACATAATTTTTATGTAAAATTTATCGCAGAAGCGTAATCCCTTCTGTGTTACTAAAGTTCTCTAAATGTTTCAGAAGTCATATTTGCATTCCAGCTTATTTCTCTCGTGACTTTTGTTTTTAATAATTCAAACAATTTGTCATTCTCGTTTATAAGCATCTACCGACTTCAATGTCTTATAAAACTGTTATTAGTCGTCCTTTATCAACGCGCACTTCAAATGAAGTGGCTGAAGATCGTGTCCAATGTCAGGTTTCGGTATGAGCGGCGTCGGTCCTGTGCTTTCTAACACATACGAGTAAATAATGAAATTGTGAGAGAACTGAAAAGCTTTCAAGACTAGAGGAAACTAGTTCTAACATATACAAGTAAAAAATTATAGACTTCCCGAAATTGTATTCCGATTCATAGAGACAGAAACAAGTATTGGAGATCAAACAATCTGTGGATATGTTGGACTTCATATAAGGAACGTCTAATAGCTTAGGAGTAAATAAATAATAAGTAAAAAAATAAGTTAATAATAAGAAAGTGTAATGCTAAAGAACACAGACGGATGTGACCTGACCTGATGCTGGCTCCAGAGTCTTATAACCTAACACTTCCAAACCGTGCGCCTCGCTACACACTACATCCGCCCCCAATCTTGCTATATTCTAAAGGGGTCGTCATGCTTACGTTACCCTTTCTGGAGGGTAGAACTAGTGATCTTCCCTTCTGTAATTACAGGATTGAAACCTACTTCCTGAAATAAATTCATCTCTCTGAAGTTCCGCCTGCCTATGTCTGAAATGACATGTATTAAAAGCACTCACTTCTGGCTTGGTGTAGCTAATTTTAGAGTTCCGAAGGATTATAATTTTTATGCTGTATACAGTTAACACTACTATTATTTTCCCGATATTTAGATCATATTTTTGTTTATGTGACAACAGTGTTGTGACGTATACAGCGATAAAACAAACCGCCCTTTTACAATACAGGTCACAAGTTAAGCTCGTGTTTAATATGTAGCGGTGTTTTTCCACAGGCCCGTTAAAGCATATCTTTAACCTGACTTAGAGATTAGAGTTTAAGTGAAGAATTGGAAATACATAATTTTTATGTAAAATTTATCGCAGAAGCGTAATCCCTTCTGTGTTACTAAAGTTCTCTAAATGTTTCAGAAGTCATATTTGCATTCCAGCTTATTTCTCTCGTGACTTTTGTTTTTAATAATTCAAACAATTTGTCATTCTCGTTTATAAGCATCTACCGACTTCAATGTCTTATAAAACTGTTATTAGTCGTCCTTTATCAACGCGCACTTCAAATCACCCCAGTTGTAAAAAAAAAAAAAAAATTGTTAAAGATAATTTGTAGAATATTATTAGACGATTTTTTGAGAAAATATCACAGTAAAGGGGCACTATTGCATTTAGTGACCAAAGTAATGATAACTGAAAAGAAAGGAAGATATTATTTCTGGAGCAAAATTTAATACTTCCATCCAAACGAGTCAACCACGATTAATTTAACTGCAATATTTTTGAAGAAACTTGACTACACTACATTCCAGTCTGAAACAACATAAATTCTGAATTCGTAAGGGTGGTACCGCTGGAAGTAGAAATTCGTAAACCGTGTAGTCTTCTACTGTTCTCAGCATACGCGTTAACTTGTCAAGTTACGCGGCGCTTACACCGAAGCAACTACTGACAAGCAACAGCAGACAGGCGTCACATGTTCCTTATAGAAATAGCATGCATTACAATGTGAAGCTTTCACATTGGAATGATAGCGAAATCGCTTTTTAAATTATCGCTCGGTGACAGACGATTCGTGTCAAAAGCAACTTTTGTGCGATATCGCCGAGCGATACATTCTATCGCTGCGGAGAGGGTTATTTGTAGTGGCTTATTTATTGCGTCATCCCGCGAGTCATATTGTTTAAAACACGTCACAGCAGATAGCAATAAGACTATTGAAGAGCAACGAAATGTGAAGTTCTTGCAAATTATAGAATGTGCGGTATGCAATGATCATTTCATTTGCCGACATTTTCATAAACTAGAAATTTATACGATGATGGAGGCACCAAATACATCTGAAACGTCGGTAAACTTCTACCAAACTACACGGAACAATAACCAAGAAGCCAGCCATCTTTACTATTGCCGCCGTGAAACCCAGAAATCTCACTCAGCAATTTTTTGTTTTGTTTTGTTTAGGTGTTAACGTACGGGCGATATCATAACACATATCGACTGTCTTTTGTTGCCTATTGTTTGATGCTCGTTGCTTCGGTATGAATTCTTCCTCACAGTAATTCATAAAGATATTTTGCTTTGTTGTGGTGCAGATTTTCAACTGTTTGCAGGAGGGAGATCTCTGTGGCAGGTTTCGGTATTGAATGTGTCCAACATTCGGGCTCTATAAGTGTACATGTTATACATACGCGAGTGCACATAAGTTTATTTTGTGTAGACATGTAAGGTTCAACACCGCTAGTTCCAAGGCCCGCCACTAGACAAGACATTGAGTCAGTTCTAGCCACCTTCCTCCCTTAAACCAATTTCCTAATGACCCATCATAACATTATAATATTTCCCACCTCCCAAATGGCCGCTTTCCAAAATATTTTCACGTAGTTTTTGAACGGTTGTAATTTATGTTGTTACAGTATGTGTATTTTGTTTTTACGCTGTAGAGAAAGAACACTTTAAGTGCCAGTTTGTTTTGTGTCTGCTGTTCAGTAATATTTGTTTATAATTCTAGGTTTCTGGGATGGATGTCATCATATCGAAATAGGCAGTCCGCAGACAGCCGATAGGTAAGTCTTAAAAACACGCATGCATTGCCGTTCTTTGTCTGTTGTTTTGCTTCATTTTTGTCGATGTAACTAAGTGACCCTTCATCCTTGCAATTACGCTACTCGTCCGTTAGGAATAGGATGAAGGTAACGGACGCAGAGGATTATGGGTCTCTGCCTTATCAATTGGGGAATATGGGACTGCAGTGTGGCACAGAGCAGTTAGTGCTGAGATTCAGTCAGAAACATAGTGAGAAAATGCTTCAGTCTCCATTAAACTCGCTGAAGGTTCAACGTTTACCCGCAAGACTAGTAAAATGGCCGTTGAAATTCAACGGAAAATCCGAGAGACATTAATTTAACGCTTGAAAGCACAGTGATAAGTGTATTTAACACTTGCCCTTGCAGTCTTTGACTGTGTTTTGCCAGTGATGCCATGGTTTAGCTATGGCGGCTTGACGCTGACTTTTCATTTAATTTAGGGTAACGAAATTTGCGAACACACACATTCATGCCCCTCGTAGTATTTAAACCCGCGGTTGTAGTGTTTAGTTGGGTTAAGACCGGCCCTGTGAACAAGGGGTCCATGTCAGAAACGTAAGCCGTGATGTACGAAACCCCTGTGCGCTAGGTCACCCGCCCGACATGCTCTGTTCTCCCTCACTTGCTGAGACTGGATACTTTAATGTTCAACGTGTCACTGAGGCGTTCAGGTGTGATTTACCGTCTTCCTGTATCACTTAAACTTCGTCATCACCAGTAGAACAATTTCTCTTCCTTCCCCCTCCTACGCGCCGTTCTTGTTGTTCTTATTCTTGTTAGTTTCTTTTGCATTGTTCTTGTTCTACTTTTGCTTATTTGTCTCTTCCTTGTTATTTTAATTTCCTTCTTCTTATTTTCTTTTTTGTTCTGGTATTCTTTTTTCGTCCTTGTTTTACTCATCCTCTACCCTCTTCCTTGCAGTCTCTTTGTTCACGGTGTCTTCCTCCCGTTTTTCTCTTCTATTTGCGGATTGTCACTTGGCTTCTTCCTACTCAATTAATCCTGAGATAAGTCGTGCTGTTCTTTTATATAATTTATCCATCCATGAGGATTCTGTCACTTGAAACGCCTGGAGCAGCTTAAGAAAAATTAACAAATATCCTTACCCGAAATGGAATTCGAACACGTGACCGCGGAGCTCAAACGGTCTGAATTATCCATCAGGACTGGCTGATTCACATACAAGCGTCTGAGGCTACATTACTTAGGCAATTTTATTTTATGTTTACGTGTCTACGTAATGTCTACTTCTCATGGATACGCCATTTATGTGTTTCTGTGTGCTTGAGTCTCTGTTAATGGACTCCATGTCCGCAGTTAATACAGTAATTTGCAAGTAAAGTTTATCCCTTGTCACCATATCATCGCGCGTCCTTAAGTTGAGGCTGGGAGACGACCTCCAGATATGGATGTTATCTGCGAATACGTTGTTGAAAGCCGGCAAGTTTGGGTTTAAACTGAGACAACATCCCCTCTCGAAGAAAATTACGGAGAGGTGGAAGGTTAGAAAGTAAGTCTACAAAGCTTATATTTTTCTGTGAATTGCGAAATTTTCGTTACGAAAACTATCTGTGTATGATTCGTAAGTTATTTTCGTACGTTGCTCCCGTGGAGGCTGTGATACACTTGTACTGTGGAACGGGGTTTCTTACTACAAAGTCTACAGACGTTCAATGTACTCTGTCAGCAGCGCTTTCTCTGCTGTTTCCACATCGATGTCAGTTTGGCCTCCAAGATTTTGCTTCAGTCTGTGAGGAAGATAGTGCTGGAAAATGAACAAAGTGTCTTCTCTTTGTCTTCAGTAATACATCTTCCTGTCGCCTATAAAATCCCACAAGCGTATATAAAGCATAAAAATCTATAACTTTATCTGTTGTTTTATACACGTGTGATATCGGGTTGATCATATCTCGGTACAAGGTGTTGAAGCGAAAGTTTGGAGCTAAGAGAGACAAAGTAATATTAAGTGGAAGAGTATTACATGATAATCTTAATAATTTGTTATTTTCACCAAATATAATTTGTTAATAAGATGGTAAAGTTGCGTCATATTGTGATATAATAAGTATATATTAAATTTTGTCCGTCTAATCACAATAATTCTTATTAAATATTAAAATATTACAATAATTAACATTTAAAATATTTAAAATATTAAATGATGTTCTTTATCGAAATATTCGATTTACATTAGAAAAATGATGGTCTAATGTAAATCGAATATTTCGATAAAGAACATCATTTAATATTTTAAATATTTTAAATGTTAATTATTGTAATTTTTAATATTTAATAAGAATTATTGTGATTAGACGGACAAAATTTAATATATAATTTGTTAAATTAAATTAAAGGATGATGTGATGGGCGAAACATATAACCAGTATGGGGAAATCAGTAAAACGTCAATACACTCTAGTTTAAAAATGTGAAAGACAGAAATAGGTCTATATTTTAAGACAAAGACATAGATGGAGGGAAGTATTAAGATTTATATTCAATAATAAGGAGCGAGGTAGTGAATCTGAGCCATCTGACTCGGAATTAGACTCAAGTGACGGCCTATTGTCAACACGATAATGAATCTTCGAGTTAGAGACCATTTTTTGCAAGAGCTTTGAACAACATTGCTGAGACGATGCCAACAAGAAGTACGTTACTCGAAGCCTGTCCAATGTCCAAGTCCTTACGGCTGCCTACGGCCCTGATGTCCCTCTGCATGATGACTGTTGTTTTACCCCCACATCATGCAGGTTTCGTCGACAACGAACCCGTCTTATGGTTCATACGGTTCAGTCGTCGCGAAACCCGGAACATGTGAGGGCTCGGTGCTGCCAACGTTACCGTCCAAAATAATGAGACACTTACCTGACTCAGTCTCATACAAACTTCTTTAATCTTCATCTTCTTTTGTTTTATTTGCTGATTAGTATTAATTTTCCGAGTTAATTTCTGTTAGTTCATTTTGCCTTTCTAGACCACTCATGAGTCTGTGGTATTACAGACTTTCTCTAAAAGATGCCAGGGTAATTTCATTTTGGCGCGCGTCGGCCGACTGTAGACACCTAAGAATATGACTATCTCTGAGTTATTGAGCAGTGTGGTCCATTAGTTTACACGCAGTATAGAGGTTTTTGCTGCCTTCATCATCAGGGCGATCTGTCGTCTAACAGACTGCACGGCGTAACAACCCAAACAACAGTTACCTTTGCACTCGCCGCTTTGAGATCCTAAAATCTTACAAACACCTATTTTACATGAAACTTAATTCCAGAGTTATCAAATATATTAACAACGGCTCGACATAGGTGTGCATTTCAGTAAGATCTACAATTTTTATGTGAATATTTGGTCTGTATGGTGCATATTTAATAAAAATCTGGGAGTATAACGTAAGGTAATTAATGTGTTTGTGCTATGTTACGTATGCACGTGATCTAGGAGAATTCAGCCAAATTTCGTTGCTGCATTAATCAGTTATTTCGAGTAAAGACTGTCTCGGTAACATGGGTTCGTTTCATAAAATTTACGGAGTAGAGGTAATTTAAAAATAACAATAAGTAGTCGTAATAAAAGAATTTCACAGTAACCTCGATTCGAAACTAAAATGAAACGTTACTTAATAATAAAACATGGGCCCATATTAAGGGGACACTTTTACTTAAAATCACTGAACCCATGAAACATGGCAGTGCCCTCTTAAATCATTCTGTATGTTTTCGTCTAGCTTTCGACAATAAAATTATTCGCTGTAGTACATCTACTTTCGATTTTGAGCCCAGACAACTGAGATAGTAAAGTAACTGATTATGGGTTGTGCAGCCAGATTTCGACAAAAATGAGAAGACAGCCGATCGCCCCATCGTGTGCCGAGGTTAAGAATGTGTGGAGTTCAACTCCATTTCCCATGTACGCCATTATGTTGTGCTTAGGCACGGCGACAATTTATATTTATTTTAACCCAGTATTGGTTCTGTCAAGAATCGTTTATATCTGAATAAATACCTTTCAGCCATTTAAAGCCTGTGGTGCCTATACGGTATGTACCACCTGCTTCAACAAACAGCAACTCTTCATTTTGTACGTATTTATGGGTTTCGTATGATTCTTCCTGTAAACAAGGATTATTTCCGTAAATAGCATTACATTGTCCTTTGAAATGGCAAAGCGTTGTGTTGAATTTGAAGTTTAATTTGAGTTGAGGTACGGACTGATTTATTACGAGTATGGAAATGTCTGGGAACCTTCATTACCGTAAATTTCTCTCTTTTTCCAGGTTAGATGTAGTGTCTCTTACTACTAAACTCCTCTTTCTCATTCATTCGGCTTCAAATGGTTAACTCAACTGCGCAAGTAGCAACATCTTGAACTATCCTTTTGAAAAATTTTGATTCCCAGAACTTAGATTCGCCCCAACTCTTATTTACAGTTTACAATTGTCACCAAATTCTGAATGATGACAACCGCCACGAAAGACTTCTGTAAGTGCTGGTAGTAGTACAAATATTTTAATAAACTTGAAGGAGATATCTCTGCTCTCTTTCTCTTGAAAGTATCTCTTAAAGGTAAACCACCCCTTCCCCCTTGTTAATTAACTCCTGCTTGCTCATTAACATCTCCCGTCTTCTTTAATTAGCTCAGTCTCACCCGCGGCACTCAGATCGTTCAAGTCCAGGCACCGAGACTTCGAAACCTGTTTATCATCACTCTAATGTTTTCTTATCTCAAGAAGCGGTTAAAGCATGGATCCTCCCAGAAATAAAGTGTCTCTCGCCTCTCCCCCATAATTTTCTGTTTGCTCCTGACACAGAGAAACCACGACGACAATACTCGTAGGAATGGACCACAGTATGAGAGACGAAGAACAGAGTATATACTAATTACAAAGGCAAATAAAGCATTGCTGGTAATCTTAAGTACAAAAGAACAAGTCAGTCTTAAATTTTAAATAATCTTCTCTTATCACACAAAGTGTCATG